AATTAAGGTAGTACTATACTAATAGACGAATAAGTAGTTTAGTTAAGTAGTAGGTGTGTCTATATATATTATACTACCTACTCTATAGTATACTACTTACTACTATATATATATATATATATATATATATATATATGTATAAAATATGTCTAAAAGAGCCAGCCTAAGGACAATCATTCAAGCAAATACAAAACAGACCTATCGCCACCCACATAGGGGTTACAAGCTTCTTTTTATACATTGCCATATATATGTTCCATTGCGATAATACTAATGTTCTTTAACTAGGACGTGGAAAGCTGAACATACCAAATAAATAAGGAAAAATGGAAGGTCAATAGCCGCAAACAATAATAATACATGCCTCAAGCCACCAAGCCTACTTAAACCAATTAAAATCATAATTAAAATCATGAGACTACCAATAAAGAGAAGAATAACACACACACCCCACACACACACAAATAGAGAGAGGGAGAGAGATTTCCAGCTGCTTAAAAGAGAGTTTTCCTGCTACTAAAGGTTGAAGTCCGATGCTACTACTGCAAATGAAATATCCATGAATAAGAATATGGCAGTCAGATTGAGATATGGAATATAAGCTGCTTAAGAAAGAAAAAGCTAGAAATCTAGAGTGGAAATCCATTGTTACCTCGTCGTCATGATCACCCTTGGGTTGATCTTCAGCTGTCAACTCAAATGATATCATTCACAAAACCATTAGCAATTCCCTAGTATGCAAAATTCTCTAATCAAAATATTTTAAAAAGAAAAACAAAATCAATGAAAATAGAATGTCAAGCACCATTATGGTTACAGTTCTTTGATTGGGGTTGTCATCGTCAATAACTATTTCCTTATTGAAAGAAGAGTAAATCAGAAACAGGTATCCAAAAGAAAACGCACAAAAGGTGAACACCAATGAGTTGGAGAGTAGGTGCAAAACCTATATCATATTTCAAAAAAAAAAAGGTCAACAAAAAATATTAAAAAAAAATTGAAATTATAATCAAATGTTGAAAATCAATGAAACATATAATGTCAAGTACCGACAAACCCATTATGGTTACCGTTCTTTGAATGGGATTGTCAAATATCTATTTCATGATTGAAAGACGAGTAAATCAGAAACAGGTACTCAAAGAAAACACACAAAAGTAGGTGCTAAAAGTATATCATATTTCAAAAAATAAAAGGTAAACAAAAAATATTAAAAAAATGAAATTATAATAAAATGATTCCAACAGTGTGCTAATTATTATCTCCAGAAGTAATTTCATGATATTTCAAAATTTTGCAAAAATATCAGGAGATTTTTCATAAAATGAAAAGAAAAAGAAAATCTTGCAAAAAACTATATACCTGTATAAAATTAGAGAAAGATCAAAAGTAAAAGGAATTGCTGTTTGCACCCATACGTTTACTATATGCCGAATGTGTTTGCCATGCCAACCCCAAGCTTAGATGGGAATCTAAAACAATATGAACGCATATTTTTCTTATAGATCTTACAAGTCACACTCCTCAGAAATCTGTAACTTCTATTTTTCTTGTAACCATGGTTTTTTCATTCGCCAATAAGTTTGGCTCTTCAAACCAATTGAATATCTCATTATATCAATAATTATGTCATTTTTCTGTTGTAACTCTTTCAATTGAAAGGCATTGAGAAAATGGAAATATATGTCAGAATGGTAGTTTATGAGCCATATGCCTCCTTACCATCCTCAGGAAGATCAGAGGTCCAAAGAGTAAGATTGTCACGAAGGAGCTGCATGATGAGAGTGCTGTCCTTGTAGGACTCCTCATTGAGGCTATCAAGCTCAGCAATGGCTTCATCAAATGCTTGCTTTGCAAGATGACATGCTCTGAACAATAATAAAACTTAGAGATTGCAATAAACATCCATTGACACATTAAAAACAAACTAGATCTATAGAACGAGCATTCATGTTCATCTATTTATCAGCTTTTCATTTCTCATTTTGCTGGGCTTGAAGCCGACCCATCATATCAGCTTTTCATTTCTCATTTTGCTGGGCTTGAAGCCGGCCCATCATATCAGTTCTCCATTTCTGGAAAAAATTAATCATTATACATACAAAAAATATTGCTTTTATGCATGTCATAACTAATAGTTGTCCATTGTCTTAATAAATTTTTCTTTGCATGTCATAAATAGTGGTTGTCCATTGTCTTGATAAATTTTGCTTTGCCAAAAAGGAAAACACATCATACACAGCACAACTGATGTATGGTCTACGGAACCATGGGTATCCAACATCTGTTCCTGATGAAGATGGTGGAGAGCAACTTTATCTTTTCATAATTGATTGGCTTTAGTTTCTGATGATGAACACTCACTATGTTTAAAATCCATTGTAAGCCACTTGAAACGGATGATAGATGACTATATAACGTACCATAAGCCATGCGCCACTATTCTCTCATATTCTTTCGCTGGTTATTTAATGAAAAATTTAGAAAAGAAATCAAGGAGATCCAATTAAAATGGAGAATGAAATTCAAGAGGGCAATTATAAGAACTATAAAGAAAGTTACGATTTCTCAGATTTGACAAGCACTTCCAAATATGACTAAATAATGACTTTTAAAAATAAAAAAGAAAAGATAAAAAATTATGATTGAAACAAAAAAATTGATATTCTTCACAAATGCATATTAACCATACCCATTTATTGACAGAAAAACATCCTAAAATCAAATTGGTCAGAAATCTTGGGTAAAATTTAACATCAATGAAAGAAAATTTACTCTATGGAAGGTCCTAGTTAAATGGCTTATCGTTTAAGAAAAGTTCAACAACAAGCACCAAGAAAAGCTAAAACAGAAAGGAAGTAAACATTACCTCTCAGGAGAGTTCAGTATTTCATAGTAAAAGACAGAGAAGTTCAGTGCAAGGCCAAGTCTGATTGGGTGAGTTGGGGGCAAGTCTGTGGAGGCAGTATTGGTGGCAGCCTACAACAAGCATATTCAGTTAACCACTCACATTCCCATTCAGCAAAATAAAAAATAGGTGTGGAGAGAGAGAGAGATGAAATACACCTGGTATGCCTTCAGTGACTGGTCGGCAGCTTCTTTCCTTCCACTTAATGATTTAAACTCCGCTAAGTACCGATAATAGTCCCCTTTCCTTCCAAAATCAACAAAACCATCTCACAAAACAATTAAGGAAAAAAACTTCAAAACAAATAGGAGGGCCAGGGTTTTTTTTGAGGGGTGTAGGTTGGTGGAAGGGATATTTGCTTTTGAAATTCTCAGAAGAAAAGATATTGAAGTGAAAGATTTGATCACATACATCTTATAATAGAAAACCATGGATTCTGCAGAGTTTGAAGAAGGAACGAGATGCTCGTCAATAACAGTAAGAATGTCGCTGCATATATTAGAGAGCTCCTCTTCTACCTTGTGCCTATAATCCCTTATCCTCTTCACATTCTGATCATTTCCTTTGGCCTCCTCCTTTTGCTCAATGGAAGACATGATCCTCCATGACGCCCTCCGAGCCCCTATAACATTCTTATACCCCACTGACAGCAAATTCCTCTCTTCAACTGTCAATTCCACATCCAATTTTGCCACCCCTTTCATGGCTTCCACCATCTCTTCATTGCATCAAAATCAACATCACTTTTAGAGGGCATTATTGTGTAAATCAAGTTGATTCATAAATCAACACTTTTTAATGGTTAAGGCAAAGGGACTAAACCTGACAATAGTTGTTTTTTATTGAAATTCCCAACAATTTCGATCCAAAAACAGAAAATCCTTATATAATACGGGGAATCTGGTCAAATTTCAGTATTGTGAAGGCATTCCAGTCTCAAAGGACACTGAATTACAAGAAATTTGGCCCCTCAAATGGAGTTAGATGTTTCCATTTGACAGAAAAATATTCAATTAGGTAGACAGATAGCAAGCAAGATAGCTATTAGCCAAAACAAAAAGAAAAATGAAAAATGACAGATACTCAAACTATGCCCAATTCGGGCTGAATTATTTAATCCTAAGTGTAGCTGATTTAACCAAAATCAGAGATATCAAAATGTTCAAGGTCAGGCCCATTCATATCGTGGAAAAGAAAAAAGATGACTTTTTCCTGAAATTTTTCAAAATTCAAGACTACTGAAATATGAAATCTCAAAACATGCACAGCTACTCAGTCTCCTTCCATACAAATACAAATTCTCAGTTTTTTTCAAAGAAACTGTTATAGTAATTACATGAATCCAAAGGAAAATACATACATCATCAAAAAGCTTTTTGAGAATTTAGATATATCAACAAAATTGGAGCAACTAAGGGAGACCCAAATACTCAGTAACTCCATAGAAGAGGACCATATAAATACATATCGCTTCAGTTCTATATAAATAGGTTCATTAAAATTTCGATCCATAAAAAAAGTGAAAAGCAAGAAATACCAAAATCCGAAGATCAAATTACAGCAACAAGGAGACGACAGAATGAAAATTTGATCTAATTAAGCATTTTCCACAGCATCAAAGCACGTAATCCGCATTAAGAACACATAATTTATTTTACAGTCACCGTATAAATAGACGAATAAGCTCAATTGACCATCACCTTATTCATCCTAAATATCAAAGTACACAGAAAACCTCAATTAGACTGTGTTACAAGGGACAGTACAAAGAACATAGAGAAAGTATTTTACTTACCCTCATATCTCTCTGCCTGCTCCGCAAGCTTGGCCTGGTATACATAAACTTCCCTCTCTTTCTCAGTCGTCATCTTCTCTCTCTCTCCTCCTTTTCTCTCTCTTGCTTTTGTGTGAGATTCGGTGCTTTAAACTCTGAACCAGTAGATCGGACGACTGAGACAAGGTGAGGTTGGATTCTGGGGAGAATCAACGGCTTGGATTAGTTCTTGAATCTTGGTAACGAGTCATGGCCGTAGATGAAGTCATGAGGTAAAATTGTGACCGTTGGATGTTGGGTAGAAATCAGATCAGATGTTGTCACATGAACTACGGAGTGCTTCGGCTAACTGAGGTTTAACCGCGGTTAAGTCAGTGGGACCGTAGGGAGTTTAGAAGGAAACTAGAGAGAGAGAGACTTGCTTTATGCCGGAAGGAAACGGGCGAGGGACCGAAGGTCATAAAAAAGGTATCGATAGAAGAAGTCGCAAAAGATGGAAGGACTTACAATTTTATTGGATATAGTTTTAGTAAAGTAAAATTATGGATCAAGATCATAGTTGAAAGTATAGTTTTAGTAAAGTAAAATTATGGATTAAGATCATAGTTGAAAGTAGCTCAAAAAGATAGAGAATTTATAGGTGTGGTCTTAAATAAAGTAAAATGACATATTAGGATTCGTATAGGACTCTAATTAATTGGAAAAAAGTTATGATGATGATGATGACAACTTAATTTCAGTATACGATGTCCAAATCAAATATAAAAATAATATTTTAAAACCTCAACATCGCATGTTGTATAATTGGGTTTGTTCTTTTCTTTTTTTTACTTTTCTCTATTTATTGCATTTATATGAAATTTTAGTGTTTATCTAATTCTAGTATGGCGCATCCAAATAAAATATTAAAAAAATAGGTTGAAACTTTAAAATGACCAAACTACTAATCAAGTTGCATAAGACCCCCAAAATGGACTTTCTAATCAATTTACCCACCTAACTTTTCCTAACAACTTCCTCTCTAAAAACCATGTTTCGTGGCAAATACTCTTATTCCCTTACATAACAAATCATTTTCGTTAGAGAAGGTGGTTCCGTGTTTGGAAGAGGCGGTCCGACGATTATTTTGCTGGAATGAGCGATCTGACATTTCATTGTAGCGGTCCGAGGATTATGCTATTGGAGAAATGGACAGTTCAGTGTATTGGAAATCCGGTCCAGCATTTTAAAGGGACAGTATGTCGTTTTGAAGTGGCGATGCGGCATTTTGAAGGGGCAGTCCGGCGTTTTAAAGTGGCAGTTCGATGATTTGGAATGAGCAGTCTGGCATTGTACAAATGCGGTCCGGCATTTCCTTTTATTGGGATCCGAAATTGATTTGTTATGTACAAGAAGGGTATTTTTGTCAAAAAAAATAAACTTTTTGTATTGGGGGTATTCGCTATGAAACATGGTTTTTAGGGGAAAGTTGCTAGGAAAAGTTACGTGGGAATAAATTGATTAGAAAGTCCATTCTGGGTTTTTTTTTTTTTGCAATTTTTACAATATTTTTTTAGCATTTTGTATAGATTCGTCTTGATAAAATCTAGGAAAAGTTGCAAAAAACCCCCAAAACTGACTTTTTACACACTTTACCCCCACCTAACCTTTCCTAGCAAATACCCCATACAAAAGTTCTCTTTTTCTGGACGAAAATACCATTACCTCACATAACAAATTATTTTCGTTGAAGAGGGCGATCCGGTGTTTTGAACAGGCAGTCCAGCGATTATTTTTTGCTGGAATGGCCGGTCCGATGTTTTGAAGTTGCAATCCAGCATTTTGAAGGGGTAGTTCAGCGTTTTAAAGTAGCGGTCCAGAGTTTTGAAGTGAGCAGTCTGGCGTCGTACAAGTGTGGTCTGGCGTTTCCTTTTATTGGGATCCGAAAATAATTTGTTACATAAGGGGAGCGTATTTGGGTCCAAAAAAATTAAGTTTTTGTACAGGGGGTATTTGATAGGAAACATGATTTTTTGTGGGAAGTTGCTAGGAAAAGTTGGGTGGGGTGAAGTACGTAATAAGGTTAAGAGTGTGGACTTAAAAATGACTTAAAAATCCAAATATCCATTTAAAGGGAAAAGATTGTGGACTCATTTTTTTTAATGATAATACCAAATAGCCCCTTAGTTCGATGGAATGCCTATTGAACCCGAGAAAATAAAAGGATTTTAACCCCCTTCTTATATTTTTCATTATCTAAATTACAATAGTTACTTCTTCTTTTTTCTTCTTCTAATAACCCAATCATAAATGGAATTTGAGATGTCGCTTTTAACCTACTTGGGAGGTTCACTAGATGAGAGAGAGTTATGAGGATTCAAAAGAGGTTGCGAGAGAGAGGGAGAAAAAAGATGGTTGAGGAACAGAAAGAAAAGTTAGTGGGAGCTTTTTTTATGAAGGGGCCATTAGAAAAAATCATCGTCGTCATCTAAGCCTTATCTCAGTTATTTGGGGTTGTTATTTGAATCATGTTCTTCTATTCTTCTCTATTAAAATCAAAAGTCATTATATATTTTCTCGCTACTTCTATTCATGTCCTTTTGGGCATTCTCTTTGGCTTTTTAGAGCCTTCCACTTGAACCAAATCATATCTATGATGTATATGGCCAGCTTACAAAAGTTTATTTTCCCTCATCTTATCGCCTATTGAAGCTGCACCTAAGTTCCTTATTATGTATTCATTCTGAAATTTACTATTTCTTGTCTTGCCACTCATCCATCTCAACATTCACGTCTCAGCTACGCTCATCTTATGGATATGTTGTTTCTTGACCGCCCAACATTATGTCCAATAAAGCATAGTTGATCTTACAATCATCCTATAGAGCTTCCCCTTCAATCTCAACGGTAATGTAGCGATCACATAAAACTGCAAATATACATTTCCACTTCGTCCACCCACCTCTATTTCTATGTGTGAATCTTCCTCAATCTCTGTTCTCCTAGATTATCGACCAACCCTAGATATCAGAAACAATATCTTTTAGGTATTTCTTGACTGTTAATCTTAACTACTTTCTCATTTCTACTCCTATTATTACCATATTTATATTTTATATATGTTAGCAAAGAAACAAATGAAATTACATAGCAAACTAGATAGAGAGAACAACGAAAACCCAACAAAGTGACCCAACAAAGAGAAAATCAAAAAGATCCAACAGAGACCCAATGGAGACAAAATCACAGGAACCCAATAACAAAATAAAGCAATAAGGAAGAGAAGCAAAAGGAGAGAGTCATCAAACCTGTGAACAGAGAGAAAACAACAAGTGCTCAAGAAGACCACACAAACCCGTGCAAGATGTGGCACAAAAGAACAAACTATCATCCAACAATCGGAAGTCCACCAAGAGGATGAACTAAAACCAGAATCAGAAGTCAAAACCTCCAAATAAGCACGAGCCCGCTATTGATATTTTGTGCAAGAGAAAAGAAGGGCCAAAAGTTACTAGAGAGAGATAGATGAAGCAGGCAACAGCTATCTACCGTGTTGGAATGGAGGCAGTAGTCTATCGTACAAAATATAAGGAGTTATAAGAAGCTTGAGTTTATCAACAGTGTGAATCATGTCAATGGAATGAATCACATGCAAAATATTGGGCTTCAATACCCAATAAAATGGTCTTTTTAAGAGGTTTAGTTGATCAACATAGTGAATCACATCAATGGAATGATGTGACTGGAAATAAGAAGGAAAGCAATAGCTCTCTCTCTATGGCGCAATTTGCAGGGCATCGATATCAATTGCTCTGATACCATGTTAACAAAGAAAGAGAGAAGTATTTTTTTTGTACTTTACTTAGGAAAACCCATATACTTATATAAGTATTTTAGTACATATGTACGTATTACAGCTTTTAAAATAGGAATTGGTTATCCTATACAATAAACTCATTCAAACTACAATAGCATTATCCTTATCCTTCATTACAAAGAGATAGATATTCAAACTACAAAGACGTATATGCTAACATTTAAGCATTTTGCTTTCTCTCTCTAACTTTCCTTGAGCGTTGGTTTTTTTCCTATGATTTGGTGAGTTGGGACGTGCAACTCAATCCAACATAATCTTTTTTTTTATAGAAATTCAAAATATTATTAAATAGTCAAAGGAAGTATAACAAAACTACGAAAATACATCGTCAAAAACCGATGACACAGCTAGAGAAGTGTCGTTTTTCACAAGAGTATCAACCAAAACATTGGCCTCCCAATACACATGAACAAAGGAGAAAGTAAGGGAAATAGAGAGATCTAAAATTTGAAGCAAGAAAGATCGCAGCTCCCAAAGGACCTTCTTTTCCCTCTTACATCAGTTGATAACATTCAAATAATCCCCTTCCACAATACAATTAGTCCCTAATTTTTTTTCGACAGAAGAGTTTAAGACCCTGAAGAAGAGAAAGAATTTAACAAAATTTGCGGAGTTCTCCCCCAGAGGACCTACATAAGTGAACAAGATTTTTCCCTCACAATCCCTCACATCACCTCCATCCCTGCAGACCCAAGATTCCTTAAAGAGCTTCTGTCAAAATTCAATTTAAAAACCCCCTAGAGGACGGAGACCACCTTCCTCTAGGCCTACAAGTATGGACTCCCAACTGTAATAGGTTAAAAAAATTATACCTCACTCAATCCAACCTAATCTCATGGTCCTAGAGATCATACTGTTTTGAATATCCTTCTCTACCTCTCTCTAACCATTCTCATACTCCTCTCAACCAAACCCTCCACCAAGTTCTCAAAAAAAAAAAAATATGGACTCTCATAATCTAGCTATAACTGGCCATAACTATTTTTTGTGTGGGCCTTCAATCTACGAAATGTTTTGGAAGGCCACGAATTATGGAGCTATGTCGATGGCTCTATCACTGAACCAATAAATAGGGTCGTCAATTCCAAGTGGACAACAAATAATGTGAAAGTAAAGACATGAATCATAGAGTCAGTTGAGAACTCTATTGCTGTCAATCTGAGCCATTTAAACACAACAAAGGCTATGTGGGGAATATCTCAAGCATATATATGCAAGGATGTATCAACTGGAGCAAGAATTAAGTTCATTGAATCAAGGATAAAAAAATGTTCAAGAATTTTATTATGCAATGATGATTTGGAATGAAATGGATATGATAGATGTCGAGATTCCTGTAGGGGCTATAGA